CAACGTTATCCAACACATCAACAAAAAGAAATATAAAAACCATATGATAATATCAATAGATGCTGAGAAAGCTTTCGACAAAGTGCAACACCCATTCATGATAAAAGCCCTTGAAATTCTTGGGATACAAGGAACATACCTCAACATCATAAAGGCCATCTATGACAAGCCAACAGCCAGTATCATTCTCAATGGTGAAAAGCTGAAAGCAATTCCATTAAGATCTGGAACAAGACAAGGATGTCCACTCTCACCACTGCTTTTCAATATAATACTGGAAGTCCTAGCCAGAGCAATAAGACAAGAGAAAGACATCCAAGGAATCCAAATAGGAAAAGAAGAAGTTAAACTATCACTATTTGCAGATGATATGATAATATACATAGAGAACCCCAAAATCTCCACAGAAAAACTAATTCAACTCATCAATCAATTCAGTAAAGTGGCAGGATACAAAATCAACACGCAAAAGTCAGTAGCCTTCCTATACACAAACAATAAATCTGAAGAAGAAGAAATCAAAAAAACCACCCTTTTATTATTGAAACAAAAAAAATCAAATATTTGGGAATAAATCTAACAAAAGAGGTAAAGGACCTATACAAAGAAAACTATAAAACACTGTTAAAAGAAATAGAAGAAGACACAAAGAAATGGAAAGACATCCCCTGCTCATGGATTGGAAGAATAAACATTATTAAAATGGCCATCCTACCAAAAGCAATATACAGATTCAATGCTATTCCAATCAAAATCTCAATGGCATTCTTCAAAGAAATAGAACAATTTTTGATGAAATTCATATGGAATCACCAAAAACCCCGAATAGCCAAAGCTCTACTGAAAAAAAAAGAAGGAAATGGAGGCATCACACTCCCAGACTTCAAACTATACTACAAAGCCATAATCATCAAAACTGCATGGTATTGGAACAAGAACAGACATACAGACCAATGGAATCGAATAGAAAATCCAGAAATAAACCCACAGATTTATGGTCAACTAATCTTTGACAAAGGAGCAAAGACTATGCATTGGAGCAAAGAAAGTTTGTTCAATAAATGGTGCTGGGAAAACTGGGTCGCTACATGCAAAAGAATGAAGCTTGACCACTACCTCACACCATACACAAAAATCAACTCAAAATGGATTAAAGAACTAGACATAAGACCTGAAACCATAAAATACATAGAAGGAAATATAGGCGAAACACTACGGGATTTGCACATCAAAGACATCTTTACAGACACATCACCCAAAGCAGTGATAGTGAAGAGAAAGATCAACAGCTGGGACTACATCAAATTAAAGAGCTTCTGCACAGCAAAAGAGACAATAACAAAAACAAAGAGAAACCCCACCAACTGGGAGAACATTTTTGCACCCAACACTAATGATAAAGGACTGATCACAAAAATCTGCAAAGAGCTGATGAGACTCAGCAACAACAAAGAATATAATCCAGTCAAAAAATGGGCAGAAGAGCTAAAAAGAAACTTCTCTGAAGAGGAAATGCAAATGGCCAACAGACATATGAAAAAATGTTCAACATCACTTGTAATCAGGGAAATGCAAATCAAAACTACCATGAGATACCATCTCACACCAGTGAGAATGGCACATATTAAAAAAACTAGCAACAACAAATGTTGGCGAGGATGTGGAGAAAAAGGAACTCTTGTGCACTGTTGGTGGGAGTGCAAACTGGTCCAACCACTATGGAGAGCTGTGTGGAGATTTCTGGACCTACTAAACATAGAGCTTCCATATGATCCAGCAATTCCACTCCTAGGTATTTACCCAAAGGACACAGAAACATCAATTCCAAAGAGCACCTGCACTCCTATGTTTATAGCAGCACTGTTTACAATAGCTAAGCTTTGGAAGCAACCCAAATGCCCAAAAATAGATGACTGGATCAAGAAGATGTGGTACATATATACCATGGAATATTACTCAGCATTCAAAAAAGATAAACACATGCAATTTGCAGCAACATGGATGGCACTGGAAGGGATCATGCTCAGCGAAATAAGCCAAAAAGAAAAAGAAAAATACCGGATGGTCTCACTCATAGCAGGAATCTAGAAAACTTAAATAAGGGACCAGGAAAATGAATATAAGAAAGTGAAAATCAAAATCAACAAAAAACTATGAACCAGAGACACTTTTTGGGGGGTGGGGCGGGAGGGGAAGGATTGGGGTCAGAATGGGGCGTTTGCAATTGTATGGGGAATATAAAAATAAAATTTAATATTTAAAAAAAAAAAAAAAATAGAGTCCCATTTGCTTGTGTGATTGTTTTGCAATCCTTTACTTTAAACCTATTTTATCCTTGGGATTTAGGTTTTTCTTCTGGACAGAGCAGAAAATTTGAGTCTGTTTTTTGGTCCAAGTAGATTATTCATGTCTTTTAATTACTGAGTTCAGTCCATTTACATTTAAAGTGATTGTTGATATATGATAGTCTGTTGATGCCATTTTATTCTTTTTTTTTTAAATCTCAGTGATATATTGAGTTCCCAGTATGTCCAGATATGTGCTAAATATTACATATCCATAATTGCTAGGTTATTTGCATACCTGTTTATAGAAAATGAACATATTAATTTTAATATCAGGACCATTTCCCTTAGAATGTCCACATGCAATTCCTGACCACAATTTTAAGAGATGATTTTTTAAATTTCTGATAGTCATCACTGATAGAAAATATTATTCATGTGAATTTGTTTGTATTTTTTTATTATTATTTTTTTAAATTTTATATGGATGGATCATGCTCAGTGAAATAAGCCAGAAAGAAAAAGAAAAATACCTGATGGTCTCACTCACAGCAGGAATTTAGAAAACCTAAATAAGGGACCAGGAAAAATACTAATTATAATAAAGTAAAAATCAAAATCAACAAGTAACTAAAAACCAAAGACACACTGCAGGACTGCAGGGTGGGGGGGGAGGAGGGACTGAGATCATAGCAAGGGGGGGTGGGAATTGTATGGGGACTATAACCAAGATGAAAATGCATACCATGTGCAAAATGAAAAATGATGTAAAATATATATAAGATGCCTTTTTATTCTTAATTTTGAGTGTCAATCTATTTCTCTATTTTGTTTTTTGTGAATGTTGCTTTTTGGTTTCAATATTTAAGCTCCTTTCAATAATTCTTGGAGGGGTGTTTTAATGCTTGCAATCTCCTTGAGCTTCTCTGTGTCTGAAAAGGCCTTTATTCCTCCTTTGTATGTATCAAGAAGAGAGTCTCGCAGGATAGAGTATTTTTGGCTGACAGTTTTTCTCTTTAAGTATTCAGAAAACTCCATTCCATTGTCTCTTCACTCATAGTGTTTCTTCACAGAAGTCTTATGTTAGCCTCATATGTATACCTTTATAGATTATCGTTTTTTTTTTTTTCTCCTTGCCAGCTTCAGTGTTCTTTCTTTGTCCTGAGATTTTGGAAATTTCATTACTATTTTTCTTGGTGTTGATCTCATTTTATGCAGATATGCTGGCATTGTTAGCTTCTTGATTTGGTTCTACTCTAGGTTTGGAATTTTTTTCCTGAATTATTTCTTTAAAATACATTTTTTGTTACTTTTGCACTCTCTACCCACTCTGGTATTCACATTATTCTTATGCTGCCTTATCTTGTAGATTTGGATAGTGCTTGGAGTATTTCTTCATTTTTTTAAGTATTGTCTTTTTCTTCTCTACCTGGGTTCTTTGTATATTTGCTTCTTCAATTACACTGACTTTTTCTTCCACTTAATCTGTTTTGCTTCAATTACTTTTTTTCAGAATTTTCATCTCCTGTATTTCTCTTTTGAAATCTTAAAACTCTATTTTTATCTTATTTAGAACTTCATTTTCTGTTGTTAGTTCATTAATTTCATTTCTATGGACATTCATGTCCTCCTGAGCTTTTTCTATTTCTTTGAATTTCTTTTTTTTTTTTAAAGATTTGTTTGTTTATTTATTTTTTTATACAAGAACTGGATACAGACCAGATGTGCGGGAAGGTGAGAGGATTCACTAGAGACAGAGCAGGAAACAGAACAGGCAGACTGACGAAATACACTGCTGAGGGGAGCAGTGGGCATGACAGGAGAGGTCTGCCATGCTATGTGGGACCCTCACTGGCTGGGATGAAACCAGTGCTGCAGAGGCTGTGGAGAGCTTCACAGCGTGGTGCTCAACAGCCTGTGCCACCAGGAGAGGCCCTTCTTTGAATATCTTTATCTTTGCAATTCTAATCTCTGTATCTGAAATGGAGAACATAATTTCCATGTCTATGAATTGGATTCTGGTGATGTGTTCTCTCTTGAGTTGTACTTTTTTTCTGGGGGACTCCTGTTGCCATTTGTTGGGTTTTTCCTTCTGCCCACTATTAGCTTTGGATGCAGTCACTTTATGTGGGTTTTCTCTGGGCATAGCTTCTTCTCATTACTGGTCAGGGTTCTCACCTATTTGGGTGAGCTGTTGGTGGAGTCTCATGGGAGGCCATGAGGCCTCTGGTCTCTCTGACTTACTTCCTGGTACATTTCTGGCATCCCACATGTCTGAGCAGGTGCTGGCAGGGATCTCGTGAGAATTCACAAGGACTCTGTATACTTTGGCAGGCACTGACTTGGTCCCTTAGAAGGTACTGAGGCCTCTGTTGTTTGAGCAGTGGCTGGCATGGTCTTGTTGAAGGTCTCAAGGTCTCTGGCTGCTCTAACACCCTCTATAAACTGGGTCCAGGGTCTCACTTATTTGAGTGGTGTCTGGCAGGTACTTGATGAGGGTTGCCAGGTCTCTACTGGTCTGAATGGTGGCTTGTGAGGGTCTTATGATGTCTCTCTTGACATTGGAGGTGGTTGGTGGGGCCTTTCAAGGCATCTGGATGCTCTGGCACCATCCCCAAACTGGTCTCAGGTCTCACCAGTCTGGGCTGGGGCTAGCAGGGTCTTTCAGACTAGGATCTTATTTTATCTAACAGAGATACAATTTTACTTTTATAGGTGGCTATGCACCCTTTCTTTCTTTGGCTGCCAGAGAAAGTACTTTTACTCTTGCCTCTAACATTGAGAAAGTTGCTCCAGGCCCAGGATATTATAATATTTCAAAAACACAGGTAAGTTCAAAATAGTTATTATATTTGCTTGAGTTAATATATATCTTAGATTTTCCCTCTAATAAGCTAAATTATCATTTGTCATATTTTCTTTTCCTATTATCTTCTTTCTCTTTTCAATTTATAACTTGTAATTAGGAATACAAAATAATTTGTTGTATGTTGATTGTCTGGTTGGCAATTATTGTATATATTCTTTAAGTCACAAAACATTGTTACATGCTTCATGGTCCTTAAGATTCTCTAACTGAAGAATGAGACTATCATATGAATTTTGGACTATGAAAGTTGTGCAAATGATTGAGTATGTAGAGAAGGATGGCAACAGAGTGAATAAATTTGCTTGTATGTCATACTCTATAATTACAGATATTACCATTTTCTCATGTATTATTTCTATGCAGTTTCTGATCAGAATACATTTGACAGTCCTTTCATGTTTGGAAACAGTGAATGTTACACTAGCATCTTCAAAATCATTAACATAAAATTTTACCCTTTTCATTAAATTTTTTATACATATGTAATGATTCTAGGCTGACCCTAGCAGATATTTAGATTTCCTTTTGGAGACCAAGATGAAATAAATGATGCATTAGTTTTTGCATTAGACTTCTTCAATTAGCTATAGTGACCACTTTATCAATTAGGGATTTTTTTGCAGGCAATAAAATAGATTTCTCAATAGATTGTAAAAGAATGTTGGGTGCAGGACTTCCCTAGTGGCACAGAGGTTAGACAGCGCTGTCAAGCTACTGCCAGCCCCTACAGCATGGGTTCCATCCCCAGCTGGCCACGGAGATAACCCACATGGCACAGCAGAAATCTTCTGTCTTGCCTGTTGCCCCCCCTAGCAGTGTATTTCAGTAGATCTACCTGTTCTGCCCCCCCTCCATTCTCTCTGGTGAATCTTCTTTCCCCCCTGCATCTCTGGCTTACACCCCAGTTCTTGTATGCATAAATAAATAAATCTTAAAAAAATTTGGGTGCCTAATAGATTTGAAGGAAGAATTAAACAAGAAAGATCTAAAGGAAAAACAAGACTAGGATAATTTTATATATTTTAGTAGTGGGAACTTCTGTGCCATATGATAGGCAACCACCATTAAATAACTTAATTCTGTAACTTCCTTCCATTTTTAAAAATGTGTTTCTCCACTCAATATTAGCATTCCTAGTAAGGGGAATATGATTGATTCACTTTCATTTTGGACCCTGTGATTCCTGGTGTAGGACACTCTATCCTTTGAAGCGCTTTTAAAGGCGCAAAATGTGGGAGGTGTTTGATTGTTACACTGATGGGGAGTAAGCTGTAGAGAGCAGATAATAGAAGATATACTGGGCAGATGAAAACAATAGATTATTATTACATTAATCCCCTTTACTGTCCTGTTTTTTTTCTTTCTTGCATGTGCATGTACACACAGAGTTATTCATATACATAAACAATTTATTTATTTTTTTAAGATTTATTTATTTATTTATACAAGCACTGGGTACAGTCAGAATCACGAGAGTGTGAGAGAATTCACCAGAGCCAGAGCAGGGAACAGAACAGACAAACTGATGAAATACACTGCTGAGGGGAGCAGTGGGCATGGCAGCAGAGATCTGCTGCGCCATGTGGGTCCCTTGCCGGCGGCCGGGGATCGAACTGGCACCGTAGAGGCTGTGGGCAGCTTTGCAGCCCAGCACTCAACCACTGCACCACCAGGGGAGGCCCTACATAAATAATATAAAAGTGTAATTATTTTATGTATAATCCTCATGTATATCTCTGTAGAAGGAGCCAAACTAATATCTACCTACTGCATTTACAGATGATAATACCGTGTCACTACAAATTGAATTCTGTCTATTTTTTTTAAAGATTTATTTATTTATACAAGCACTGGGGTACAGGCCAGATGCGTGGGAGGGTGAGAGAATTCACCAGACACAGAGCAGGGAGCAGAACAGGCAGAAGGACTGAAGTACACTGCTGAGGGGAGCAGCGGATGAGACAGGAGAGGTCTGCCTCACCATGTGGGAATCTCCCTGGCCGGCCAGGAATCGAACCCGAGCTGCAAAGGCTGTGGATAGCTTTACGGCACTGTGCTCCATGTGTTGGGCCATTGGTGAGGCACTCTGTTCTCCATATTAAGACTACTTTTTGTTTTTTCAAATCTTGTTTCATGTTCATCTTACATACTATAAATTATATAGAATATATAAGGTGAGATATTATAAAGTTTGTGATGGAGTATGGAATCTGGAGCTAGACTACCTAGATTCAGAATATATCTTTGCCATTTCCCAGGTGTGATTATCTTAACCACCTAATCTCTTTGAACCTTGCTTTCCTCATATGTTAGGGGTAATGACTGTAGATATTTTCTAAGAATTAAATGTACCAGTGAATTAAAATAGTGCGTGGTTATAATTACTATTCCAAAAAATTTAACCATTATCAGTGTTATAATTTTGCAATAGAAAGAGGGAAAATGAAAAAAAAAATGGTGCTGGAAACAAGAAAATATAGGTGTAGACTTGTTTTTCATAACTGATCATGAGACAGAGAGTACTCGTTCCATGTTCCATTTCTCTTCAATTAGGACTTTATATCATGCAGTTCTCAGTTTTGTGGTATGACCAAAATCTTCAGTTCTGAGAAGTCTGAATTCTTGGTTCTCAGGCTCTTTCTTAAACCTTTCAATAAACTTGCTCTTAGTAGTTTCATTGGGCATTTTTCTGTGAGGAAGTTATACAGGATGTTCCTGTGTTTGATCCTACCACCCACTTCTTGGCTCTCACAAGTGATGTTTTTGTCAGGGTTAATCTTTTAGCCAGTGTGTTGGCCAACTACCCTTATTTTGCTCTCTTTTTGTCATGAAGAGCCTGGGACGATTAGTTGATGTTCTCTACTTTAAATTCAGTGGAACATCTGTTGTTCTCTTGAGTCTTAAAATTTCCAGCATATTAGGGGACCAACTATTAAAAAATTGCTAGTGTGTAATTAGATATGATCATTAAGAGTGTCACCCCCCCACTTCTCTCCAGGACCCACATATTAGCGTATTATGATAGTAGTGGCAAAAGTTCTATATATTGACTGCTGGTTAAAGCCTTTACTTAATCTTGCAAGACAGTACCTCAGTATGGAAACAGGAAATTATAAATGCTATGCTAGAAAAAGCACATAGGAGATATTCATAAGCAAACTATTGAGGATTGATTAGGGAAGAGTTCCTGAAAACTTAAGAAAAGAGGGGTAAGTCCCAGAGACAGGCACTGAAAAGAGAAGCATGTTAGGCAGCATGAGTCCAGGTGTTTTTAAATCCAAACTTTTTATAAGACCTTTAAATGCAAACTTTTAATTTTTTTTAAAGATTTATTTATACATACAAGAACTGGGGTATAGGCCAGAGGCGTTGGGGGTGAGAGGATTCACCAGAGACAGAGTCAGAGTGGAGGAACAGAACAGGCAGACTGACTGAAATACGCTGCTGAGGGGAGCAGTGGGCAAGCCAGGAAAGGTCTGTTGCACCATGTAGGTAGCTCCCTGGCTGGCTGGGGATAGAACTCGTGCTCCAGAAGCTGCGGATAGTTTCACAGTGGTGTGCTTAAGCCCTTGCGCCACAAGGGAGGCCCTAAATCCAAACTTTTTATAAGACTTTATATCATCCTTTTTTTTTCCATTTGTCACATCCTAGTTCACTCTGTCAAAATCAGTTTTCCAGCCATATAGAAGTTCTATACCATCTCCCAAAAAATACCAGGACCCATGTAACCTAACATACTTCTTCTTTTAGTGCCTGTCTTTGTGACTTACCCCTCTTTCCTGAAGTTTTCAGTACAAACATTAATTCTGTTTGTATTCCATTACTGTATGGTTTTGATTATTACAGATTCATAGTACAGTTTGAAGTATGGGGAAATTATACCTACATTTTTTGTTTTTGTCAGGATTGCTTGGCTGTTAGTCTTCTGTTGTTCCATATAAATTTCAGTTATGTTTTTTCTACTTTTAGTAGGACTTGAATTGACTATGGCTTTTGGTAATATGGCCATTTTAGCAATGTCAATTCTTCTAATCTATGAGCATGTAATATCTATTCATTTATGTTTTTCTTTTTGTGTTACTTAACAATGCCTGTAGCTTTAATTATGTAAGTCAATAAACTTTGTTAAATGTATTGTTAGCTAAAGGGGAGTGTTGATTTTTTCTTCTAGTTGTTTGTTTACTACTAATGCCCAACATACTATTGGAAGTCCTAGCAAGAGAAATTAAGCAAGAGAAAGATTTAAAAAGGAATCCAATTTGGGAAAAATACGTAAAATTATCACTATTTTAGGATCACATGATAATACACATAAACAAAAACATGAAAGAGTCCATTCATAACTATTAGAAACAGTAATCAGTACAGTATGGTTTTATTTTATGTTTTGGCTTTTGATGGCTTTTGTAACTGCTTAAACCTGTTGTGGCATTTACTGAGCCAGCAGAGTGTGAGAGGAGCCTGGTGTGAATGCATTTGTGGGGGAGGGCTGTATTTTGCTTGTAGCACCACCATACCCCTCCTCAGGCATTTCTTAGCTGAGACTGTGGTGTGTACACTTCAGTGCTCTTCATGATGTCAGTACCATCTCTGAAGGGGTAGGGGAGGGGAAGTGAATACCAGAGCACTGTTTATATTCTCCTTCCTGGGGATCTAGCTTGTGTGTGGAACATTTCCGCTTCTCTCCATGTATTTCCTCTAAATCAAGGTTTTGTGCCTCCACACCATGACTGAGCCAGTTGACCTACTCTCAGTCACCCTGCACTATATTGTCAGGGCTTTTATCTTCACCCACCTCCTATTTAACAAACCATGGCCCTTCTGTGTGTATCCTCTGTACAGTCTGTTGGTACTGATGTGCAAGGTTTGTTCTAATTTTGCCTGAAGTCACAGGAGTTTCTGGGTGAGTGTTTCTCTGGTTAGCTATGAGATGATTTTTTCAGCAATTAAGCAGGAGCTTCCTCTGACATCTTTCTGCACCAAGCACACTGGGTTTTAGGGAATCAAAATCTGAAGGAATCTATTTTCTATATAATTTTACTTTATATCTAAGTTGTAACATTAATGTTTTTGGTAAAATTATTATCTGTCATTATGTACCCAATGTCTTTAGACATAGGTGTTCCGGTCATATTAAAATAGCAGTCAAGTACTGAATTGGCTATAACTTAAATCATTGTTTTCTTTTTTTTTTTTTAATACCATTGTGTATTTCTTAGAAACTGAATAAATATGAACCCAAATAGAGGTATGTTCAGTTATGAAAATTCTTAATCAAATGCCAACCACTGCATTTTGAACCATTTCTGAAATGATTGCAATGTAACTATTTATTAAACTTGTATTTTATTTAAATTCACCAACTATTAATCAGTTAATAATTTTCTGATTTTAAAGGATCCAGATATTTGGCATCTAGAGCCATGAAAGATTCCTGCCAGTGTCTTTTCTGTTATAATCAAAGTTTAAAAATAATCTTAGTAGGAAACCATTGTTGCCAGTAAGTGTCCTTAAACATAAAAAGCCTTCCTCTGTGGAGAAATGTCTTTTGAGTTCTTCTGCCCATTTTTTTTTTTAAGATTTATGTATTTATTTATACAAGCATTGAATACAATCATAAGTGCAGGAGGGTGAGAGAATTCACCAGAACCAGAGCGGGGAACAGAACAGGCAGACTGGTGAAATACACTGCTGAGGGGTGCAGCGGGCATGGCAGGAGAGGTCTGCATGCCATGTAGGACCCTTGCCGGCCAACTGGGGATCAAACAGGCGCTGCAGAGGTTGCAGGCTGCTTGAAGCAGCCCAGGGCTCAACCACTGTGCAACTGGGGAGACCCTCTGCCCATTTCTTGACTGGATTGTTTATTTTGTTTTTGTTGAGCCCTGTGAGTTCTTTGTATATCTTTGTGATCAGTCCCTTATCAGTTGGATGGAGTGCAAAGATTTTTTTCCCAATCAGTGTGGTGTCTTTCTATTTTGGTTAATGTCTCTTTGGCTGTACAGAAACTTTTCAGTTTGATGTGATCCCAGGTGTTTATCTTTGCCTTCACTATCACTGCTATGGGTGATGAGTCTTTAAAGTTGTTTCTGAGATGTATGTCTTGTAGTGTTTTACCTATATTTTCTTCTATATATTTTATGGTGTCAGGTCTTATGTCCAGTTCTTTTATCCATTTTGAGTTGATTTTTGTGCACGGTGAGAGGTAGTAGTCTAGTTTCATTTTTTTGCATATGGAGGTCCAACAGGCATATGAAAAAATGTTCAACATCCCTTATCATCAGGGAAATGCAAATCAAAACCACATTGAGATACCACCTTACACAAGTAAGAATGACACATCAAAAAATAAGCAACAACAAGTGTTGGTGAGGATGCGGTGAAAAAGGATCTCTCCTACATTGCTGGTGGGAGTGCAAACTGGTCTGACCATTGTGGGAAGCTGTCTGGAGGTTCCTCAGTCTACTAAAAATGGAGCTACCATACAACCCGGCAATTCCACTACTAGCGATCTACCCAAAGGACACAAAAACAGTGATTCAAAAGAGCACCTGTACGCCTATGTTTATTGCAGCTCTATTTACATTAAATAAAACCTAAAAACAACCCAGATGCCCAAAAATAGATGACTGGATCAAGAAGATGTGGTATATATACACAATGGAATATTATTCAGCAATCAAAAAAGATAAACTCATGCCATTCACAGCAATGTGGATGGAGCTAGAAGGAATTATGCTTAGTGAAATAAGCCAGAAGGAAAAAGAAAAATATGGGAGGGTTTCACTTATAACAGGACTATAGGGGAAACAAATAAGACATCAATGTAAAAAAAAACAATACAAAACACAACAAAGCAAAAACAGACAATTATAAAGCAGAGACATACTGCAGGGGAGGAAGAGGGAGCAGGGTGAGAGGAGGGAGGGAGGTGCACAGGGGACTGTGGTGATGGTGCATGAGTGCCTTGGGGAAGGAAATTCTATGGGGACTCAATCTGAGGGGGTGGGGGAAAGCAAATATTTTCTGAAAAAATTTGAAAAATGATAAATGTTAAAAAAATGTATAAAATAAAAAAATGTTCAAAAATAGATAAATAAGTAAAAATAAAAAAACTTAAAAAAGCAAAAAATGTTATCTATGAAGCAAGTTGGGAAGGTTTATACTTCCCAACTTTTACTGCAATATGAATACTAGCATTTTTATTTGTCATCAGAGGAACAAATTCTCTGTGGGCTTGTAAACATACCCTCTATTCTTGCTTTACAATTTTAAAATTATTTTATCTCTGATTACAGTTTTGAAACTCCAATTTCTTGTATCTCATAGATTAAGTATGTAAAATTTTAATTTTGAGTTTGAAGTTAAAATAGAGCTATAGGACCTCCCTGGTGGCGCAAGGGGTTAAGATGCAACCTATGAAGCTGTCCCCAGCCTCTGCAGCATGAGTTTGATCCCTGGCCCACCATGGAGCAGCCCACATAGTGCAGAAGACTGCTCCTGACTTGCCTGCTGCTCCCCTCAGCAGTGTACTTCAGTCAATTTGCCTGTTCTGCTCCCCACTCCGTCTTTGGTGAATCCTTTCACCACCTCCCCCACACCACTGGCCTATACCCCGGCTCTTGTATGCATAAATAAACCAATCTTTAAAAAATATAAAAAAAATAAAACAGCTATATAGTTTTCACTTCCACTTAATGCCCTCTTTTACTAGAATGGTCTTCAATCAAGAGCCTTAATTTTCTCAGCTTGAGTTTAAATCTATTTGTTTATATTAATATTTAATATTTATCAAGTAGCTGTTAATTATAATGTGTTTCTTTAATCGTTCTGTATTTTTCTTTCCAATTTAGTATAATGTAAAAGGAGGCCATAGTCTACAAAATCGGGAGATACGTTTTCAGAAGTTTATTTCAGATAGTCCAGGACCAGCAAGCTATGATCAACCTTATCTTGGACCATTAGGTACCATGAACAGAAAAGTGCTAGAGACAAAAGAACATCTTCAATCAGTATGTTGGTATTTTAAGTTTTTCTTCTAATGACATTATTAATTAAAGTAAAATATAAAATACTAGTATTTTATGTAATATCAAATACTTTTAAAGGGACCTATAAAATGAGCAGGTTTATTAGTATCCATATTGTAGTTAATTAGTTATTAAATGAATACTCAATTTTAAGAACTTTATTTTTTAACTGTTTTGGCATCTAACTTAATTTTTGCTTTTGATAAATTTATAGTCACTTTCAATGTCTATGGTGAAGAGAAAGTAAGAGAGGTTAAAAATAAAAATCTGGATGGTTTTCATATACATATGTGAATTTCTGTTTTAAGTAACATTAAAATGAAACTTAAAGCATTGTTCCCTAATTAAGTAAAAACAATAAAATTTAGATGGGAGATAGCTAGCTAGCTAGCTAGCTAGATATACACATATGTAAAACTACTGCTGCACGATGAAATGTGACAGATTCTAAATTGATGATCATGTAATTAAAGGCCATATGAAATTTTTCTTTCATTTATTTATTGTTTTTTAAACACCCTTGTTTATTATTTGATACTGTGGGATTTCTCCCATCAGGTGTGGTCACTATAGTTTTCTAAGCACCAAATTGTCCACAGTCCTTCTCCACACTCCTTGCACCCTGCTCCCCACTTGTTCTTGACTCTCCCCCACCTTTTCTACTTCCCCCTCCTAAATGTCTCAATCTTTGTCTGCTTTCAAGGATCAGTATTATAGTAGGTCTTTGTCTTGTTTCTCTAGATTCCACATATAATTGAAAACTTTTGTTATTTATCTCTTTTCCTGACTTGCTTCACTTGAAGTAATCCCTTTTAGTTCCATCCATGTTGCCACAAATGGAATAAGTTTATTATCTTTTTTGGTTGCTGAGTAGTATTCCATTGTGTATATGTAGCACATCTTCTTGACCCACTCATCTTTTCTAGGACATTTATGTTGTTTCCATATCTTGGCTATTATAAAGAGTGCTGCTATAAACATGGGAGTGCAGGTTTTCTTTCAAATAATTTTTTTTTTTGTTCTTTGGATAGATACCAAGGTGTGGGATTTTGGGTTGAATATTAAATCCATTTTTATTCTTTAGAGGCATCTCTTAACTTCTTTCCTTAGGGACAGGACCAGTCTATACCCAACCAAAAGTGTAACAGGGTTCCTTTTTCTCCATGCCCTTGCAACACTTGTTGTTTGCAGTTTTTTTTTTGATATGGTGTAGATGTGAGATGGCTTCTCATTGTGGTTTTGCTTTGTATTTCCTTGAAAATAAGTAATGATGAGCATTTTTCATAAGTCTGTTGGCCGTCTGCATGTAAGAACTGGGGTATAAGCCAGAGGTGCAGGGGATGAGAGGATTCACCAGAGACAGAATGGGGAACAGAACAGGCAGACTGACTGAAATACACTGCTGAGGGGAGCAGCTGACAAGACAGGAGTGATCTGCTGCACTATGTGGGTAGCTCCCTGGTTGGCCAGGAATTGAACTCGTGCTGCAGAGGATGCTGATAGCTTCCCAGGGTGTTGTGCTTAAACACTTGTGCCACCAGGGATGCCTCTTCTGAGATTTTTATTGAGATTGCATTGAATCTATAAACTTTTGTGGTAGTTGGCAATTTTAACAATATTGTAGAATTATCTTTCTAGTCCTTAATGTCTTCTATTTCTTTTAAAAATGTTTTGTAGTTTTCTTTGTATATAGCCTTCACTTCTTTTGTTAGATTTATTCCGATGTATTTTTTTTTTCAATGAGATTATAAATGGGATGGCTTTCTTAATTTCTTCTTCTAGTTCATTATTTGTATATAGGAAGATAAATCATTTATTTGTGTTGATTTTGTAGCCTTCCACTTTGCTGAACTAGTTTTATTGTTTCGATTCATTTTTCTGTGGTATCTTTGGAGTTCTGTAGGTATATTATCATATCATCTAAAAATAATTTAGCTTTACTTATTCTTTCCCAATTTGTATTCCTTTTATTACTTTCTCTTGGCTAATTGCTCTAGCTGGGACTTCTAATACTATGTTTAACAGTGGTGGTAAGAGTAGACATCCTTGTCTTATACCAGATCTTAGTGATAGGTTTTCAGTTTTTCAGCATGGAGAATGATAGTAGCTGTTTGGGTTTGCAATATATGGCTTTTATAATGTTAAGATACATTCCATTTATTCCTCATTTTTCAAGGGTTTTCATCATAAAAGATTCTGAATCTAATCATGCTTCTTAGTTTCTATTGAATAATCATGGTTTTTACTTTTCTTTTTGTTGATATGGTGTATTAGATTGATTTTCAATGTTGAACCATCCTTGTGTTTCTGGCATAAGTCCCACTTGATCATGGCGTATAATCTTTGTAATGCATTCTTGGATTTGGTTTGCTAAGATTTTATTGAGGAATTTAGAATCTGTATTTGTTTTGGAGATTGGTCTGTAGTTTTCTTTCTTTGTGTTCTTTGGTCAGTTTTGGTATTTGTGTAATATTGGCTTCATAAATGAGTTTGAATGATAGAGGTTATTTTGTGTTTGAAGGTTTGGTAGAACTAACTTGTGAATCCATCAGGTGTTGTGTGAGTTTTGATTACTGTTTCAATTTCCTTGTTTGTAATCTTTTTTTTTCCTTCAAGTTTTCTTTTCTCTATTATGTTATGATTATTTAATTCTAAGAATCTCTACTTTTTTTGGTTGTTGAACTTGTTTGCATAAATGTTTATAGTAATCACTTATTATCTGCTGAATTACTGCAGTATCAGTTATAACTTGTCTTTCATTTTGATCCTATGTTTTGAGTTTTCTCCCCTCTCTAAGAGAGCCTGGCTAAAGGTTTGCCTGTTCTGTAGTTTTTGGAAGAACTGACTTTTGGTTTCATTGATCTTTTGGGCTGTATTTTTTGTTTGCTATTTTATTTCTTTCTATTGTAATGATTATTGCCTGATTTTTGGTTCTTTCTCTAGTTCCTTGATATTAGGGACAAAGTTGTTTGTGCTCTTTCTAATTTCTTAAATGTGGGCCTGTGTTACTCTAATAATTCATTCTTAGAACTGCTTTAGCTATGTCCCATATATTCTGAAAGGTTTTGTCTTCATTGTCATGTTCCTTGAGATATTTTTAAATTTATCCTTTCATTTCCTCATTAACCCATTGGTTGTTGAATAGTGTATCACTTGGTCTCCATGTATTAAACTTTTTCCTTGTTTTCTTTCTGTAGTTAATTTGTCGTTTAGTACCTTTATGGTGAGAGAAGATAATTGTTACGATTTCTATCCCTATGAAGTTGTTGATGTTTGTCTTGTGTCTTAGTATGTGATCAGTCTTGAATAATAACACAGGTACACTTGAGGAAAATAATAACACAGATGCACTACTTTTCAGCATAGTATTAGAAGTCCTAGCTAGGGCAATTATAAGAGAACATAATAAAAGGAATCCAAATTGGGAAAGAAGTAAACCTATCATTATTTGTGGAAGACATGATAACATACATATGTAAAGAACCCCAAGACTCCACAGAAAAATGTATTGAAGTTATAAATCAGTTCAGCATAGTGGCAGTATACAAAATCAACATATTAAAAAAATCAGCTTCATTGCTTATAATTTAGAAGCACAGGATCTCTTCGGTATTGTTGCCATATCACACCCACTAACAGGACACTAAAGTCCCTCACCATAGTCCATTGTGTTCCCTTCCTACTTAGTTCTTCCCCTTTCACCTCCCCTTTTGGTTGCCTCAGTTGTATAGTCATATTTCTAGGGTAATTAATCTTTAAAAGTGGTGAATGAAGGGGAAGCCATTTTAACTTTGGTAATCAAGCTCATAAGTACTACTAAAATTATGTAATAATTGTCTCTAATGATAACAAAAATTTTGCAGTGATAGTATGTTTACATCATGTTTATGTCAAGCATGTGTGCATTCAAGTATAACATTTATTTATTTAAATTTTATTTTTGAGTAGAAGAACTGGTATGTAGACCAGAGGTGTTGGGGGTGAGGATTCATCAGAGACAGAGTGGGGAGCAGACCAAGCATATTTATTTACATACACTGCAAAGGGGTGCAGCGGGTGAGACAGGAGAGGTCTGTTGTGCCATATGTGGGTTAGCTCCCTAGTCAGGGATTGAACTCAGGTCATAGCAGTGATAGTGCTGAGACTGAACTCTTAGGACACCAGAGGCCCACATTTATTTGTTTAATTGGAATCTATAGATGATTGACAATTTTAATAAATAATTTTTCAGTTTTCCAAATAATTTAAATGCCAGTATTTTATTTGATAGATTTTATACTGACATTTCTATTATGTGGTATTCCTTCCTGTTTTTACATAATTATTATATATTTTACACTAAAGGAAATTTTGGAACTAGAATAATTACACTAAAGTGCCTCAATTTGACAATGATATCTTGTGAATTTTTGCATGACTCCTCTTAGTATTAAATTCATATATGTATGCAACTTCTTACACATATATATCGCATAACTTAGCTGTTATCATAAATTTAGTTTTATATTTTAATTTTGTATTATGTCATAGAAATTAGAAATTTTCCTTGTGCATAGTCTGCAAAATAGGATATTTATACAGTGGACTGGTAGAATGGAGAAAAGTTATTAACTGGGAAGGGTAAAGTCAGGAATTGTTTCAGAAAAATTAAGGTTGTATTTGCCTGGAAATACAGGCATAAGGAACCACTTTGAACTATAGGAATGGAGGCCTGTTTTTGGAATTTACGATACTTCACTTATAAAGCAAGAGAAGTGAGACAAGTGAGAGAGAATACTTGCTTCATAAGGTTACTCTAATAATAGTATCTTTGCTTATACTTTGAGACTTGAATTCACTCTGTTAAATTACTATTATAAAACAGATATTTTTGGGTTTTTTTATGAAACTCATTAACTTAAAATTTAATAGCTATCTTTTAGAAAATTATATTATTTGTTCTTTATTCCTTATACCCTTGCCTTTCCCTTTGAATAAATACATAAATGTTTTCCTACAGAAAATTTCAAGGGCACTTACAATCTCCAGAAGATTTGAAGTTCCTTCAATTCCTTCTTGTGGACAGTCATATGGTTATGATATAAAGGAGGATGGAAGTATAAAAAAACATTTTCCAGCTGATAGTGACAGCACTCTAGGGCCGGCATACTATAAACCTCACTTTGTAAGTATAATGCATATCCTATTGACTAGATCTGTTTAGAGCACTGAGTAGTTTTCCATTGTGTTTATATGCCATATCTTCTTGATCTACTCATCTGTTTTGGGGTACTTAGGTTGTTCCCATAGCTTGGCTATCATAAACAGTGCTGCAAAGAACATGGGAGTGCAAGTTTCCTTTTGAATTGGTGTTTTTGTATTATTTAGATAGATTCCTAGAAGTGGAATTGCTGGGTCCTGTGGCAGATACATTTTTAATGTTTTGATACACCTCCATACTGCTTTACAGGGGTGTTGGGCCAATCTAAATTTATTTAATAATGTAGAAAGGGCCCCTTTTCTCCAAACCTTCAAAAATGCTTGCTGTTTCTGGTCTTTTTGATATGAGTCATTCTCACAGGTGTGAGGTGGTATCTCATTGTGGTTTTGATTTGCATTTCCTTGATCATACATCATAATGAGTATATTTTCACATGCCTGTTTGCCATCTGAATGTCTTCTTGGGAGAAGTGTCTGTTTAGATCTTCTGCCCATTTTTTGGTTAGATTGTTTTCTTTTTGTTAAGTTGTATAAGCTCTTTGTAGATCTTTGAAATCAATCCTTTATCTGATATATTGTCCTCAAGTAGTTTCTCCCATTCAGTAATGTGTCTCTTTGTTTTGGTCACTTTCTCTTTCTCCGTACAGGAGTTTTAGTTTTTACTTAAATTTAGTTCCAGTTGTTTATTTCCCTTTCTCCTGGAGATGAGTCCATAGAAAAATTTTCTGAGGTTTATGTTAAGGAGTGTATTTCCTATATGTTTCTTCTATGTATACTGTAGTTTCAGGTCATACATCCAAGTCTTTTATCAATTTTGAGTTCATTTTCATATACAGTGTAAGGTAATGGCCTAGTTTTATTTTTTTTAAAGGGACCTGATTTTTTTTAAATATGTATTTATTTATGTATACAAGAACTGGAGTACAGGCAAGAGGTGTGGAAGGGCAAGAGAATTCTCAAGAGACAGAGTGAGTTGTAGAACAGACAGAACGACGGGAAACACTGCTAAGGGCAGCAGTGGGCGAGACACGTGAGGTCTGCTGCACCATGTGGGTTTCTCCCTGGCTGGCTGGGAATCGAACCCATGCTGCAGAGGCTACAGACAGCTTCACAACTCTGTGCTCAACCTGCTGTGCCACAGGGGAGGCCCTCTTTTTTTTTTTTTTAAAGATTTATTAATTTATGCACACAAGAACTGGGATACAGGTGTGTGTGGGGGTGGTGGTGAGAGGATTTGCCAGAAACAGAGCAGGATACAGAACAGGTAGACTGACTGAAATACACTGCTGAGGGAAGCAGTAGGCGAGCCAGGAGAGGTCTGCTGTGCCATGTGGGTCACCTCCCTGTCGGGGACTGACCTGGTACTGCAGCGGCTGCAGAGAGCTTCACATTGCTGTGTCTCAAACCCTTGCACCACCAAGGAGGCCCCCATAGTTTTATTCTTTTGCATGTGACAGAAGCTTCAATGTTCCAGTGTACATACTTTGTTCCTTTATTGTGTATTCTTTGTACATGTGTGTTTTATTTCAGGGCTCTTAATTCTGTTCCATGGTCTATGTGTATATTTTTGTTTCAGTACCATGTAGTTTTAAGTATTATGTGTTTATAGTGTAGTTTGAATTCTGGAATTGTGATACATCAATTTTCTCCCTTTTTAGTCAGGAGAGATTTGGCTATTGAGGTTTTTTTTGTGGTTTCATATGAGTTTCAGTAACCTTTGTTCCACTTCTTTGAACAATGCCACTGGGATTTTTATTGGGCTAGAATTGGATATAAATTGCTTTAGGTAATATGGCCAATTTGACAGTTTTGATCCTTTTTCCACATGAGCAGGCTATATATTTATATTTCTTTGTGTTTTCTTTTCTTTCTTTTAACAGTGTTTTATAATTTTCCATGTATACGTCCTTAAACTCATTTGTTAGATTTATTCCCAGGTATTTAATTTTTTTAGTGAGATTGTAAATGATTTCTTCTTCTTCTTGTTCATTATTTTTATATAAACAATGCAACTGATTTTTTTAATATGTTGATTTTGTATACTGCCACTATGCTGAACTGATTTGTAACTTCAATACATTTTTCTATGGAGTCTTGGGGTTCTTTGCATATGTGTGTTATCATGTCTTCACAAATAATGATAGATTTACTTCTTTCCCAATTTGGATTCCTTTTATTATGTTCTCTTATAATTGCCCTAGCTAGGACTTCTAATACTATGCTGAAAAGCAGCGAGAGTAGACATTCTTGTCTTGTAACAGATTTTAGAGGTAAGGCTTTCAGATTTTTACCAGCAAGAACTGTAGTAACTGTGGTTTTGTCATATATTACCTTAATTATGTTCTCTTATAATCCCTTATTTTCTCAAGGGTTTTCATCATAAATGAATGCTGACTCTTATCAAATGCTTTTCAACATCTTTTGATATAATTTCTTTTTGTTGATGTAGTGTGGCATGCTATATTGGTTGATTTTCAGATGTTGAACTGTGCTTATTTTCCTGGTATAAATCCCACTTGGTCATGGTGTTTAATACCTTTTATTGCATTATTGGATTCAGTTTGCTAAGATTTTATTGAATTTTGATTCTGTGTTTGTGACAGAGATTGTGTTTAGAACTTCTTCTCTCAAAAAACGTGTTTAGAACTACTTCTCTCTAGTTTTTGGAAAGAGTCTAAGCAGGATCAATATTAGTTCATGTATGAAAGTTTGGTAGAACTCACAGTTGAAACCATCTGGTCCTAGATGTTTGTGTTTTGGGGAGTTTGGTTACTTTTCTATTTCCTACTTGTGATGGTTTGTTCAGGTTTTCTTTGTTCCATGTTCAGTCTTTGATGATTGCATAATTTTAAGAATCTGTGCATTTCTGTAGGTGGTTGAATTTGTTTGCACATTACTATCTGTGGTAATCTCTCATATCCTGAATTTTTACGGTGTCTGTTGTTACATTTTCTCTTTGATTTTCGATCATATTTATTTCAGCTTTCTCCTGTTTTTCTTAGTGAACCTAGCTTAAGTTTTGTCTATTTGTTTATCTTTTCAAAGAATCATCATTTGTGTTTCATTGATCTTTGGAACTTTTTTTTAATTTCTACTTTATTTATTTCCACTCTAACTTCTATTATTTCCTTCCTCTTCTGGCCTTTGGATTTTTTTTTTGTTGTTGTTCTTTTCTTTCTAGTTTCTTGAGATTCACAACAAGGTTGTTTGGGTTCATTATAGGTTCTTAATGTGGGCCTGTATTACTTTATATTTCCCTCCTAGAAGTACTTTTACTCTGTCCCATACATTTTGAAAGGTTGTGTGTTCATTATCATTTGCCTTGAGGATTTTTTTATTTCCTCTTTTTATTCCTCATTAACCCAGTGATTATTGAGTAGGAGTAAGAGCCAGTCAACAAAGTAGGATAATGAGGCATCTTTTGCTTTTCTTCTTTTTCCTCCAAACAAACTTTATTTTTACTTCCTTGAACAAAGTTTGCTTCTCTCTGCTTACTTATCTAAAAAGTCTGAGGATTCCAGATGTTAAATAGACCTATAAGACAGCAGACATCTCAAACAAAAGTCAAAGTCCCAGCAACTTAAATTTAGCCACCAAAAGATGCCACAAGCAGAAATCTCAGTAGGAGACCAAAAAAACAAAAACCGTTTGAGTTTCTGAGAATCGCTCCAAGTGGCCTTGATACCAGAATTGTAGGTATTCAGACCTAGTCTCCCAGCCAGGAACGGATCCCAGGCTGCAGGGGCAGCGCTGAATCCCAGCCACTAGACCACCACAGGTTGGTGTCTCATGAAGCCGCCGCAGGAACTTCACAGACACTCAGGCAAGCAAGCAAGAAGAGGCAGGTTTGTTTAGAGAAAGAAGAAGTTTATTGAGGAGCAAAGGAACAGAAATAAAGAGGGACTCCAGGCCAGGGAGTGCCAAGGAAGCCAAAGTGGAGTCGTGTCTCAGGGAATATACACCTTTTCCCCCTAATTATTCTAAAGCTCCACCAGGCTCTTTATGATTGGTTAGTTCTCAGTGGTCTCACTCACTGCCTAAATATCTCTGTGCCCAGAAGTAAGTTTCTGTGTCCCAGCCCTTATCTTTCTATCTTCATTGCCCTTCATTGCCCTGTTTGATTAGTCCCCTTTGGAATTTGTGGCCCTTATCTCTGGAGGCTTCCTTAACTCTCCTGAAGTCCTGGTACAGCCCTTGATGCTGCCTAATTATCCCTAACTTGTCCTAGGATTCAGCCTTATATACCATCTTTGATCTGGCCACATGGTGCAACCTGTGACATCTTTCCAGAAAATTGCTACATAGAACAATTTTCACAAAATCAAACGTGTCAGCAAGTGACTACAAATTGTACTTGTACACACAGAGTTTTTACAAGGCCCAAGCCAGTTTTTCAACAGCAAATATACACATATCTGAAACACACACACTAGAAAAATCAAAAACCACATTTGTGCTGATGGTAGCCAGTGACATGGGGAAGCCACCTTTCCCCATAATGCTGAATGACCATGGATGGCTCTGTCCTGCCAGAGTCACCAAATCTGTTAAGGACAGGGAGAGGGAACCCCAGAACCCCTAAACCTGCCTGTTCTAAGTAGTTTTTGCCATCTACTGCATCAAGACAAAACATACAAGGCCTTTTGTGATGTGGAATGCTAAGTAGTTGCATATTTGAGCCTTTCTCTAGAGGACCTTATACAATGATTTTTAAGAGTTACATGAGCCTAAACATACCAGCAGGCCACTTGGCTTTCACTAGCTAAGCAGAGGTCATCAAGTACTGCAGAAGCATACACCTGAAAAGTGGCTAGATTCACAGCAAGAGTCTCCCCAAAGTCAGAGAGTAACTGAGGCTTTTGGCAAGTCTGGGGTTTTCATATTTGAATGCAATAAAAGGCTGAACAGATGTCAGTGTGTGATCCTGAGACAAAAGAAAGCGTCTTTATTTATTTATTTTTAAAA